AGTCCACCCCACCCCACCCTCCCACATCCGTCTACTCCGTCCACCTCCCCCCACCTCCTCATAGCGGGAACTATGGCCAACACCTCCCTAAAGGACAAGTTAGCGATCGATCTACAAGGAAACTTGCGCCTGTGACTCAAGTAGAACAAGCAGGATAAGGCCCAAAAGATCAGACGAAAGAAACTCTTTGAAGATGTTAGCCTAGTGAGGGGTTGTGCTGTAAGGGCGGGAAGAACACGCTCTTGAGCGTAATTATCTTCCAGATTTCTGTCAGGGCTCATAGTGGCCAGACTATGGCTACGTTACGCAACTACCGAATTCTTTTTTGGAAGTGGTCTCTGGTACAAGCATTTCGCGGTCGTGCGGCGCACTCTTTAAGCTCTGCAGTATCGGTTTGCAACGAGATTGTATGGGAATGGCGCTGTAGCTTCCCAGAAGACGTCCCGTCTAATCAACACAGTCGGATTCACCCTGTCGCCATCTTGAGAAGTGCTACACGTTCGATTTTCGATACCTTGACGGCGCATTCTGCGACCGCCAAAGCATGAGGATCAATAATACAGCATTCGATATGAAACTCAGAAAAGAAGAAGGAAGAGAAGAGAGAAAAGAGCGAGAAGGGAAGAGAAACGAAAAAAAGAGCACCAGAAAACAATGGGACCTGGGTTCCTCCTCGGCACATAATTTTTTACGGCATATTGATAATCACATGCATAAGTCAGCCTTCTTTTCACCACAAAAATCCTGGTACCAACCATCCTGCCGCTGGGCTTGTTTGTTTTATGCAAAGTTCCCTTCAAATGCGGAATTGATGCGCCGTTCGTTGTCACTGCGCTATATCCTCTATTTAACGCGTCGTTCGCTGCGGAGTTTGGAGCGCTTCAGAGGCTGGATCTGGCGAGGCGCTAGCCAGTTTCCCACCAAATTTGGTCGCCTGCCCATTTCACGTTTGGTGAGAACGGGCTGGTGCTGCGCCAAAGCCAGCCGCTCTGAAACGCCCCATCATCCGCAGCGTGCATTACAGTACGTAAGAGGGAAATAAGAACTGCGAGTTCCATTGAGGTGATTGTTTCTTAATAGGAGCACTCACCTGTATTTCAACGTAGTATCTTCCATTAGCCTCGAAGTATCTGTTACCAGTCCTCCCGTCAGGTGACCATGACACTCCTGAGCGGTCTCTGAAAGTGTAAGCAATGACTAGGGCACATCATTAGTTGGTGATTTTGTTCGATTCCCTACGAGTATCCCCCCCCCCTTTTTTTTGGGACGGGAGGGGGTTGGTACGCCCCATGGTTCCCTCGCCATCGAGCTGTCGAGCAGGGGAGGGGGAGGGTGTATAGTACACATGAAACAGGAAAATCACGAAAAGTCAACCACCTCTCCCAGAAGGCCAGAAAGCAAATACGACCCCCCCCCTCACTCCCAACAACGTAAATACAAGCCCCTTTGCAATATCCGTGAAGTGAGGACAATCAACTATCAAAACAACTTTTTCTTAGCCCAAATACGACCACCTCTCTCCCGGTGACCAAATACTATCCCCCCTCCTGCCGCCGAGAAATCGCCAACAATGATGTGCCCTGGCGATGACTCGGAGAAAGTTTCTTGAACAAGTTCCGATCGATCCGATCAATCCCCTTTTTGAGGAGCACCACGCAGTAGACCCTGATCCAGAGTCGTGGTGCTATAATGCGCCTGCACAATACCTTGCAGGGAATCAGCCTACGTACACTAATTTTTTGCCTTCCGAGACGCGTCTGGCTTCGATAAATGATCCCAGGAAGGGAGGGAGTTGATAGCCCTAAACGAGTCTCGACGCAGAAGCTCAATTTAGAGCTGATTTTTTTGTATACAGCATTGTCGTACAATCTCGACATTACTGTTACGTTTCATTGTTTTTCCTGGAAGTATGTCAGAAACGCTAAGAAGTGGAGGTGTTTGGCGGTGTAAAGCGAACACTTTCTCAACCATGACCCACTCGAAGCCCTTGATGGAGGCGACTTAGTCGAGACGTCAAGCCATTCATTAACAGGGTCCACCTATCAACCCCAGTGGCGCAAAAGAAATCTTCAAATTTACGGTTTTATGAAAGTATAGTTTTGAATAAACACCTACACTTGTTCTGGAGCTTGAGGACGCTGGTCATTTCGTCCACACCGCGATCGCGACGATCGGATGCATCGGATCTGAAATCAGAAATAACTCTTTACAGCAGCAGAAGAAGTAGCAAGGGTATGCCATTCCGTTTCATCTGATTATCATCCTTATTAGTAATTTGGTGACTGCCTTCAGCACTATTTACGCCTCACTGCCACCCCCCCCCCCCCTCCCTCCCTTGGAAGTTTAGACCAAATTTCGATCGAAATTTTTTAAATGGTGGTTTTGGCCTAAGCTTCATCCCCGGGTGTTGATTTCTGAACATAGATGTCGCGTCGGGTTGAAGTGAATGTCTCTGGCTTCCACAAAAGCCAGGGTGTCAGGCAGGTGGTTTTGTTGCTGACGCCTTACCAGGCGTTTTCATGGGGCAGTTCGGCGACAGGAGGGGCATTGTACTTTTGCTACTTTCCCATCGATGTGGAGACCCATCTAGAGAGCCTTTTCGTGAATTGACAGGTTTTAACTTGGTACTCTTCGAGCTTGCTCCAGCTTCACAAGTGTTCACAGGTTTCACCAAAGTGGGAATTGTAAGCCGGAACTAGTGGAGCACTAAAAGCGCAAAATGCCTCCTCTCCACTGAAATGCGAATGTTTCCGCCCTAATCATCTGGTGTGATGTTCATATCCGCGCGGTCACTATACTTCTGGGGACATGTTTACACCAAGTCGGTGCTGGACGAAGACTTGGAGCCAAAGAGACATAGTGTCCGTCTTCTGGGCTGAAACAGCACTCCTATACAAGGGTGAAATGCCGCCAAACCAGCTCACGGAGAAAAAGTTTTGAATCAGAATCCGGACTGGGGATTTTTAGAGAATGGGCAGTAAAGGGTAAATAGTGCCATACTTTCTTTTTATGCTTAGATGAATTTAGCTTTTTGGCAGCACTAATAATAGCAAAGACCACTCCTTAGTGGTTTTTTTTCAGTTCCGCCTTGAGAATTGATAGCCACTTTTTCGACGAAGGAAATCATGTTCTTTGAGCTGACGAGAACCTTTCTATCAGAAGAATAGTTTAGGAACACTTGAGGACAGCGAATGCGTTGTAAAAGAAAGCTCCGAACAACGGTATAATCCTATTTGATAACGAAACGCCATCTGATACGTTTTGTTCTGGAAGAAAACGGCTCTAGAGCAGTTCGGCCTAAGCACGTAGTGATAAGATGGTGCAAAATTTAAAATACGAGCCCCTTTTTTGACTTTCCTAATAGAGAATCTTTACCTCTGGACGAAAGTGATCCGGGGCTACGCAGTGAAACGACCTCTTTTCGGGCCCGTTGAAGCAATTTGTGTGGCTTTACAACTGTATGACAGTGCTATAAATTCCTAGCAAAACTGACCAAATTC